GAGAATAAGATACATTTGTTTCTGAGGAAATGCCGCATAGAAAATCACAAACATGTGACTCCGTGCCATGTGCATAATCCACCTACACATAGACATACAGTAGAAAACACTTGAAGAGATTAAAGCAAGATGATGTCGTCGAGAAGTCAGCTCAATTTGAGCTGTTTAAGTGACATGGCACAGTGGGGCAAGCAGCAAAAAAAACTAACTGAACGAATTCTCTAAAATGATGAGCTCGGCAAACAATTTGCCGGCACTGTGCAGGGTTAACTATATAACATAAGCTAAATCATATTTTGACAAAGCAACTGTTTGCAATCGCTTTTGTCCCACTGTGCGGCGTGGCTTGTTGTCAACCCAACAGAGTCATTTTCACTTTTGCTCTAGCACAGGCGGCACGAATTATTAAATTTATGAACTTTTATTGATGTCTTACACACAAACTTTGACCGCTCGAGTGCGGATGGATGTGCGTGTATGTGTGTGTGTGTGTGGGAATGGATGGCGAGAGGGGAGCGGGGGGGCAAATGCAAGTGGGTTCTAAGCACTTGAGACTGTAAGCCCGGGTCGCAGACTACGACGAGTACGCTGGTATTGGTGTGCTAAATTCCGTAAAGTCTTGATCCTAAACGAGACAGATTCAGTTGAGTTCTAAGCTCGGTGCGAGTCGCACGCAGCAAAAAGTATCTGACGGATACAAAAGTGCAATAGCTACAATCAGGACGGGAAGCGCTCAATTAATGCAATTGCATAAGCTGCGCGGCTTTGGTAGAGAAAATATCGACAACTGATTAGCCCGTTAAGGCTTTTAGCCATGGCAATAGCCACGCTTGGTCAATCAGACTGTTGATTAGTTCCTGGCTCGTTTTTTTGTATCGATATCGCGTCACACTTTTAGACACACACACACAGACACCACCCTGAATAGCCGCCATGGTGTACTTTGCCACTCGCGAGAAACGTGATCGGAACGGCAAAGCCAAAGCTAAAGCCAAACAACAGCAAGTCGAACGGATCATACACGATGAAGAGTTTGGCGAAGAGAACGTCGAGCTGGTCGACTCCGAGTGGGCCGATTTTGAGAAGTTCATTCGTCAGTTGCGCCAGCGACGCAACAGCAACATATCCATGGAGGCGGAGCTGCGTCATGTGCCGCGTCACCATCCCAAAGTCAAGTCGCAGGCATTCTATCCCTGTCCGCCGCCAGCCGAGAATGGACCCGATTCCGACTCATCCGACGATGATGATCCGTTTGGATACATCGATACACTCGTAAGCAGCAACACAATTTCTATCAATCTCATCGCTCAGTGCAGGTTCAGTTCTAGAGTGCACAAACTGTTGTTAATCTATGCCATTAAGTCATCCGTTTTAGTGATAAGATTTCTCGACCTATATGTAGGTTACCTACCTGGTAACGAGTGCGAAAAGAACGTTATCTTTATATCGATCATGAATGGCCAGCAATCATAGCCGAGCTAAATATCAATTTAATTGATCTTGTTCACTTTAACAATATGTGATTTGTATAATTATTATTATCGGTATCAGATGGCAAAGGGGGAAAACATTTAAATTTCTTTGCATCGACTCAATAACCATAAGAAAAAGCAGAATTTCCAGAACCACAAAACCGACAAAAAGATAAAATTTTGTGTAGCAAAAACGTTCATCATAAACTGGGTAAATAATAGGAGAATTTTTCAAAAATCTATTAAAAATCAGACAATGCCCAAAATGGTATTTCTCATCGAAATTGACTCAGTTTTATCTGATTAATAGAAGTAGAGTATACTTTTTACATCTTTACCAATTGCAATTTTTCTACTCTAATGCATTTCATTAATTGTTAAAAATTTTTTATCTTTTAAAAATATCCATGAGAATACTTTTTTATGTATTGAAAATAATTAAAGATTCTTAAATCTTGATCTCTTAAATTTTGAGCATTAACTGTGAATTGAGAACTTTGAAAGCTATTTACGATAAGATTTTAGAATTTGGAGTGTATTAAATTGGTTTTCTGAAAAAGAGGAAAATCTATTTTACTAAAACAAGCATTTTTAGTACAGTCAAGAGTTAGGGTATAGAGCTTGTTGTTTTACCGAAATTTTCTTGAATATTTCGATTCCCTTTCCCTGTCCGAGTCAACGTGTAAAAGCAATGCAAATATAATGAATGGGAATGGGAAGACGAGCAAAAAAATATGTCGCTATTTATAATCGGATTATAATGAATAATATTTTGTGTTTATTATAAGTTAAGAAATTATTTCAATGTAGAAGGTAGTAGGCTGCAAAGAAAAGGGTGACCTTGCTGCCCAAAGAATTTTCAACATTACAATTATTTTGAGGTTAAGTTTCAAGAGATCTAAGAAAACATTATGAAAAAAAAAATTAATTAACAAGGAAAATTTAAGTATTTAAGTAAAAAGAAAAGATAATTATTTTTTTTTATCAAACATGGTCTTTCAATTTTCAATTTATAGCATTTTAATTGTTTTGAATTATGAAACTTAAGCTTCTAACAAGTGTCAAGAACTCTTGAGAGCTTTCTAAACATTCGAACAATTCGAGATTTTGTCGGCATAGCTGGTTACCCTGGCCCATGCACAGCACAGCGTTGAAAGAAAATTTTCAATAATTTTTCACACAAACGGAAAAGCTCGAGAGCGTCCGTCTTAGTTTCAAAAAAGTTTTCACAAAGTTTAGAACGTTGTGTGAATGTCGGACAAAGACGCGAAAATCAATAGACAAAACTAAGAAAGAAATCGTTAGAAATTATAAACGACGCGAAAGTTTATGGATAAATATTTAAAAATAATAATATGCATATAAATAAATATTAAAAGATATTTATGCATAAATCATGTGAAAAATTATGATGCATAAATAATGTGATTAAAGGCCGTGCAGCGTTGTAAAAATGTTAAAAATAAATTGCAATTAAAATTACAACTGTTGACGGGACGGGCCTCAAGGGCAGCGACATGTAATTCCGACGACTTGCAATGAGAAATATCAACTGAGAAGAAGAAGCGCAACAGCAACAGCAACAACATCAGGGAATCAGCAACTAAAAATAATTGGCAACAAAATGCGAAACAGAAATTCGGCCAACAGCCGCAGGCATGTCAAAGGCCGCAATACGGATCTATGCGACTGACACAAAACACGCTTGCAACAAAAACAACAACAACAAGAACGTGATCGAATATAGAACAATCGGATTCGTCTATTCGAATTGAAATTCGCAACGTATTTGTGTGCGGTAGTCAAATCGGTTTGCTTCATGTTCAACAACAGTCGCACTCACCAGGATGAGTACATTCGGGAATACGCCTTTGAGCCGGAGCTGCTGATTAATCGCGCCGATTATCTGCGCGAAGAGGAGCTAGCCCACAAGTTAGCCTCGACGCCCGTCCGCCTGCGCTGGGATGAGGCCATTGCCAAACAGAAGCAACAACAGAAACGGAAACCCAAACCCAAACCCAAATCCGCCGAAACAGTCAGCGATGACAAGAATCAAATTGAGTTCGAAATTGAGGCTTTCTACTATGTAAGCATATTAATTAAGCGAATCCAGATTGGAATCGGTTAACAGCCAAACCGGTTCGAACCGGAATTTTATCAACTGTATTAGTAGATTTCTTTAAAAAATACTTTTAAAAATTGTATAACATTTGTGCATAAAATATTTAATGCAAAGCTCGAAAAAAAATAACTAAGTAAATATTTAAAAAACAAACTTATTTTCCTGAAGAATGTAAGACTATGTTCCAAATTGTTTAAAACTAGCTTCACGCTGAGATCGCACTGGTTCGAATCCTACATAGAATAGAGCATTATCTAGTCAAAGCAGAGACACATTGAATTTACCCAGCCAAAGCAGACCTTCGCCCAGACCTCTGGGAAATTAGCGGCGCTCTTGGTTTTTGCTTTCTCTTTTGTTTTTTTTTTTTTTGTTACATTTTCTTTTATTTTCTTATATTTTCTTCTTGGTTCTTGCTGCTTTTTCTTGTCGCATGCCTGAACAATTTTTATTTATTTATGTAGTTCGTTTTTGTTTTGACCGTGGCATATGTGTTGGACACCTTTCGAAATATATTTTTGGATTGCATTTTCAATGGGTTTTACTTGAGGTACTCGCGGAATAAGCCAACTACTCGACTATAATTTATTTAATTTTTTCTTCATGAGAGACTAAATAATATCATGTATATTCAGAGAACACGATTTTGACACAGACATAAAAATTAAAAAAAAAAATAAACAATAATAATAAACTGAATATTTGTGGATCGTGATTAATAAATATTTATAATAAAATATAAAGAAAATACAATTTTTTATCTGTATAGCATAAACATATATACTTTTCTTGTAGTGTACTTTTAAAATGAATTTATTCGAAATTTTCTGTAAATACCCTTAGAACCACTTAAACTTTAAAAGACATAAAATGTTTTTATAATTTGTTGACAGCATTCGAACTTCTTTTTAAATTGAACTATTAAAAACCTGTTTGCTATATTAACCAAATGATTTTCCTCTGCTATGAGAAATCTGCAAAAAATACAATTTTATTCTGAAGATTTTGAAGCTCATTTGTCAGGCTTATCATTGTCGACTACTTTGGAAATGCTAAAGTTTTCTTTTTGCCTTTGTTATTGTTATGGGAATTTCCGTGCATGAAAAATCGTTTCATGACGAAAATTTTTTGCCCATGGGATATGTTCTCTGTTTGTGTTTTGTTGCTTTGTTTATTTTAAAAGATGAGAGTTTTTTAAGTTATTTATATTGTACTATATTGGACTTTTGCCTGCTGCCAAAATGATCAACAAGTGAAACGAATGCGTTAGTAAGTGTTTGGCATTCTTGGAGGATGGTGAAAAATGTCTATTTACTTGTACGCTCAATCTCCATATACAAATAAATATAAAAATATAAAAAAATATAGTCATATTTAATTCTAATACTACACTTTATATTTATGCACAGATGTATGGTCGTTATACGAAAGATCTAGGAGAATTTGCCAAAGATGAAGCCAGAAAACTCAAACTACTCGAAAAGCGACGAAAGCAAGAAGATAAACAAAGGAATAAGGTAAATTTGAAATATATGAGTACAATGAAAAGACTTTATTTGTTTAATCATGTGACAATCCACATAATATTCAATGCAAACGTAATGAGCAATATATAAATACTTAAGGTAAATCGTTTGTTTGTATATCGAGTATTTAAATTAAAATAATGAATATTCACTTGACATCAAATGCCTGCGATTCATGTTCAATGGCGACCAAATTATGCAAAGTGCTCGCATTCATGAATTCATGAACGCCATTTTGATTCAGCACACAAAAATAATTTGGCATCCATCCCAATAGACCCATCGACAGTAGTAGCTATGTACATTATAAATATCTATATAGCACATAGTTTGAGAGCGTTTTGAGTGCATCGGTTTATAAAGCAGCAGTGCTGGGAAATATTTACAGGAATTGCTGGGCAGGCGAGCGACGCGTATAAAACGCATCTCATCATGGGTCTGGAAGCATACCCTGGCACGCCTGGGCGAGGACTGGGTATTCCTCGCCCTGCTCGGCATCATAATGGCCCTGCTCTCCTTCATCATGGACAAGGGCATATCGATATGTACAAACGGTAAACGCATCACAAGACAACCTATAGTTGACACCATTATTTTTTTGCCTACTAAATATTTTGGTCTGATATCATTTTAGCTCGTATTTGGCTCTATCGCGATCTTACTTCACAGCCCTTCATACAGTATATTGCTTGGGTCTCATTGCCGGTCTGTTTAATATTATTCTCAGCCGGCTTTGTGCATCTAATCGCGCCACAAAGTATAGGTAAGTCCAGAATTAACTATGTTAAGTAGACTTTGGTATTTAGTTTTGTTCTTTCAAGTAAATAGTATTTAGTAGTTTTTGATAACAGTATATTTTGAGAGTATTTTTTATGTTTTTTTTTTATTTCAACTAATCTCTCGAACGTGAAAGTAGTCTTGTTTGTAGTTCTAAAATTCATTGATATTATTGTAGTTATTTGGGTTTTCCAAAGCAAAAACCAACTTCAAAACCGAAAACTATATTAATTTTTTTACTTACTTACTTACTTCGATGGTTGTTTAGGATTTGTAATAAAACCCAAGATATATGCAAATAACGTTTGCACTTTTAGACTACAGATTCAAGTGTTTCGGAAAATTTGTTTATCTAAATAATTTTTCAAAAATTCCAGAACGTGTCGAACCACTTAAAATAATATCTTTAGTTACTAGCTTCTTTGATACCTCAATGTTATATATTTATCTGCCTTGCAAGTCATAGATTATTCTAACGGAAAAAAAAACCCCTCTGGCACTTTATAAACAGCCTGTACCACTGCACTCCGGCAGCTGCCCACACCAAGCACACTTGGCACCTCCAATAACTGATATATTCCCAGTGTCTATATGTTATATACTCAAATTGAACACCTTAAAAAATGAATCAAGAAAACTATATATTTATGTACATACCCAAGCACTATGCATATGCTCAATGCAAATTCCACATACGTACGAATTGTATTGTATTACCATATACCTGTGTCTAGGTTCCGGTATACCTGAAATGAAGACCATTCTGCGTGGCGTTGCGCTGAAAGAGTATCTCACATTTAAGACATTAGTGGCCAAGGTAATTGGTTTAACGGCAACTCTGGGCAGCGGTATGCCATTAGGAAAGGAAGTAAGTATGAAAAATTGATGCCAGCTTGACACAGCTTGGCACACACACACACACACACACACACACGCATACATACGAACACACTCACAATGTTTGGAAAACTCTTCAAAATATAAAAAAAAAAAATACTAACTTCGTCTCTAGGGTCCTTTCGTACATATAGCAAGTATTGTAGCACAATTATTAAGTAAACTCGTCACATCATTCCAAGGCATCTATGAGAACGAGTCCCGCAACTCTGAAATGCTGGCGGCCGCCTGTGCCGTCGGTGTGGGCGCCTGTTTTGCCGCGCCCGTTGGTGGTGAGTACAGGAGAGATCGATTAGATCCTCATTTAATAGCTGAGCAACAGCAGAAAAAACAAACCAGCAAAACGATCCACCTGCAGGCGTTTTATTCAGCATTGAGGTAACCACCACCTATTTTGCGGTGCGCAATTATTGGCGCGGTTTCTTTGCGGCCGTCTGTGGTGCAACGGTTTTTCGACTGCTCGCCGTTTGGTTTCAAAATGCGGACACTGTGCGTGCTCTGTTTCTGACCAATTTTACCACCGAATTCCCCTTTGATCCGCAGGAGTTGTTTGTTTTCGCATTGATTGGGTGAGTCTTAAAGGCAATTATTGAAATTAGCAATTACAAATGCATCACCTTTAACAGCTTCGTTTGCGGCTTGGGTGGCGCCACCTATGTTTGGGTGCATCGTCGCTACGTCCTTTTCATGCGCTCTAACAAACGTATGAACAAATTTCTGCAGAAAAAGTGAGTACCCAAGGTATCGATTACTTATGTCAAGCAATTTATCGATATCGATACGCTCATTTCGTTCTCCAACTATTTAAGTATCGATATTGACCGGTAGAAAACTATCGCTGCATAATTTACACAAAGCTCCGTTATATTTTTGGATTACTAAACACACTTTCATTCTTTTCAGCCGCTTTTTGTATCCTGGTTTTCTGGCACTGTTGGTCTCCAGCATTTCATTTCCCCTTGGCACGGGTCAGTTTCTGGCTGGTGAGCTCAGCACACATGAGCAGGTGACGCAGCTGTTCAGCAATTTCAGCTGGTCACGCGAGGATTTGACCGTGGAACAGGCTGCCGTCGTGACCCACTGGATGACCAGCTACACCAGCGTCTTTGTCAATCTGGTAATCTTTACCATCTTCACGGCAAGTATTATAAAATATTTAGACTATATGCACAACGAATTGAATGTTTCATTCTGCAGTTCTTCTTTTCCATCATTGCGTCCACGATACCTGTGCCCTCGGGCATGTTCATACCGGTATTTAAAATTGGCGCCGCATTTGGTCGCTTGGTGGGCGAACTGATGGCCTCCTGGTTTCCACATGGCGTGCGCTACGGCGGTCGATTGTCACCCATTATGCCAGGTGGCTATGCAGTTGTCGGTGCAGCTGCCTTCTCTGGCTCTGTGACGCATACGGTATCCGTGGCAGTGATTATCTTTGAGATGACCGGTCAGATAACGCATGTTGTGCCCGTGATGATAGCCGTGCTGGTGGGCAATGCGGTGGCAGCGCTGCTGCAGCCCTCGATCTACGACAGTATTATACTGATTAAGAAGCTGCCGTATCTGCCTGATCTGCTCCCCTCCAGCTCCGGCATGTACAGCATCTTTGTGGAGGACTTTATGGTGCGAGACGTGAAGTACATTTGGCATGGCATCTCCTATCAAAAGCTCAAGGAGGTGCTCAAGATCAATAAGACGCTGCGCTCGCTGCCCCTAGTCGACAGTCCAGAGAATATGATCCTGCTGGGCTCCGTTCAGCGCTACGAGCTAATCAAGATCATTGAGAAGCACATAGGACGCGAGAAGCGCATGGAGGTGGCACAAAAGTGGCAAAAGGAAGCCGAGGAGCGCGCCCTGGAGGAGGAGAAAAAGAAACAGGAAGCGGAGCTCAAGCAACGTCGACCCTCACGCTTCGAGGTGCTGCCCGCACCGGACATACTCAGTCTGCGCCAGATTGCCAACGATGAGATGCTGCCGCCCAAGAAGCGAGCAGAGACCATGCACAGCTCCCTAACGCCACGAAAATCCATATTGAAGAAAACCAACTCCTTCAACTTGAAGACCTATGCGCCCGCCTCGCCGCACAGCCCCAGCATCACACCCTACACCACCATCACGGGCAACTCAGAGTTTCGTATACGCTCCGCCTTTGAGGCCATATTTAAGAAGTCTACCACGCTGCAGGATGTGCAACCGGATCCGGAAATGGGCTCTATATCGCCGGTGGCCAGCAACAATGAGGTGCAAGTTCAGCGTGCGCCCAGTGCGCCCAGTACACCCGGCATATCCAAGAAGGTTCAGCTGGTAAGTACAATATCCTTGCAAACTACGATTTATGGTTCAGAATGAGGGGGGGCATAACTACTAATGGAGCTAAGCTCCATCATGTTCTATATCTGCCACGCTTATTTGTACAAATTTTGCATTCCAAGCAAGCACAAAACAATTGGAACTTTGTTACCGATCAGATCATGCTGGTAAGTATCTGCTCTGAAAAAACATTCCTAACATTCATCTTTGGTATTCTGATGAAACTCTCTCTCGCTCTCTCTCTCTCGCTCTCTCTCTCTCGCTCTCTCTCTCTCTCTCTCTCGCTCGCTCTGGCATATTAATTATCCTATTCTATATCTGCAAGCAAGTAAATCCTATAACAATTCAAACGAAGGGCACCAATCAAATGGTAATATATACCTAATTGAATCTTGTCAAGGCAGGCGTCACAGATATCGCTTTTAATTAAATCCGAACTCAATTCCAATCGTATTATTTTTTTTTTTTTTTTAAATCTCTTAAGATATCTGTGACAGTCCTGAATAGTCCTGAAAGTAGCAGCAGCTCTTGTTTTTCTTTTCGCTTCTCTGCTTGGCTATATATTTGTATGCTCAAAAATCTGCTGATAATATAAAAGTTGTATTGCACTCGCAAAATAATATCTATAAAATTTAACGCTTTGTGTTTGCCGCCCGATAAGGATGACAAAGATGATACCATAACAGATAATACAGATTCATATAAGCCAATTAATTTGCCGCTTAACGATGTGAATACAGATAAGACCTGCATTAAATACAAAACAAATAAAGTTTCAGATATTAATAGACATTCCTACGAACCGGCTGCTGTGTTCCATGTTAACGAGAATCACATAGATAAACAGAAAAAGCCAAAGAAAAAAATTCAATTTAGCAGCGATGTGAGAGTCAAAGATTCACCAAATCGTAGCTATACGTTGTATAAGTTATCCGATAAGCAAGAATCAAATGAAATGGATCTAACGATAGAAGATGACGATCAGAAGTCGATTGTTGACAACGAACCGAATGCAACTAAGGTAAGTGGGGTCTGTTCTTTCGTCTGTATTTTTACATGCTGCGTATTGTAATCCATACTAACCGATCTAATGTATATATATATATATATCCAACATTTTCTATTCTCTCTATTGTCCCAATCGTAACTGTTCTTGTATACACATATATATATATATCTCAATGCGCACACACACAAAAACAAAAACATTAAACAGAATACGACTATTAAAAAGACGAAATCGGTGCAATTGGTATGTATCAATTAATAGATAGATCCATCGATAAATCATATATTGAAGCTGCAGTTCACATAAATGTTGACTCCTATGTATCTGCCTCTTTTAGCCGAGGGAGCGCGTCATAGACATGTCACCGGAGGATCAGAAGCAATGGGAACTGGAAGAAATGCTTAAGCCCATCGATTTGGAAAAGACACAGATACACATTGATCCCTCGCCCTTTCAGCTGGTCGAACGCACCTCCATACTCAAGGTGCATTCGCTGTTCTCCATGGTGGGCATCAATCACGCGTATGTAACAAAAATCGGACGACTTGTCGGCGTGGTGGGCCTCAAGGAGGTTGGTTCATATCAAATATCTTAACATGCACATTAACCGCTGCTAATTAAAACCGTATTTGACAGCTTCGCAAGGCCATCGAGGATATCAATAGCAATAGCTTTGTGGCACATCCGCGTGACGATGAGGTCGACTCCAAGCCAGCGGTGGAGAAGCCACTGCTCGCAGCCAGCGCCAGTGACAAGGCCGTAGACATGACCATCACCTCAATGGACTCAGCGCTTTCCAATTCCGACAATTGTTCCGATATTGAAATGGAGCATCTCAAGTCTTTGGATACGCCGGAAGTAACGCTCACAATGCCGCCAACCGATACAAACGCAAATACAACAATACAAGACACAAACAACACACAGAACATAAACAAATCTGTTTAAATTAAGCGAACATCTTTTGAACCATATATGTTAACTCGTTAGCCACTGCAACAATGCTTGTTTAATGCTGTTGCAAAGTCTGTAAAGATACAGTTAAATACTAAACTAAGTTATGTCATAATTAATTAATTAGATTGTCAAGTTGTTATGTATTTATATCTCGTTAGTGCATAAAGTCAAAGATATCGTGATCTATTTTTAAGTTACAAGCAATGCGAAATAAAAGTTTAACAAATATTCAAATTAACGTTGCAAAACTTACTCTAAATATTAATTTGTCTTAATGCTTACCTGCAAACTCAAATAAAAAGACAAAGTCGAGGCTTAAACTACGAATCGAATCAAGTTGGAACCTTTTGATTCTGTTCGTGCGCCTCTCCACATAGAACCCGCCTTTCCTCGAACCAAGGTTTGTTATTTTCGTTAAATTTAAAAGTTAAGTAATTCTTATTCTTATTCTTCTCTCAATTTAAAAGGTGTTCTAATATATCTAAAGATAACATTTCACACAAATACGATTCAGATTAAGAACAGGCTTTTTCTCATTATCTCGGATTAAGAATCGGTTAAAATTCTCGGTCGGAACCGGCCTATTTTTAATCGAAAGGTAAGGTATAACTCTTGTTTATTACAGCTGATTAAATATAATAGAATAATTTCAGGTTTATAACAAGGATTATTTTAGGGTCACTTCAAATATTTACCCCAATGAAAATTATCTTTGTTACCTAAATTGGATGAGTTTTAAAAGCAAATTATTAAATATAATGGGAAAATTGAATGCAAGTTTGAATAAAGTTAATAAAGTCTTAAGTACTTTAAATCTATTAATAGATAGATTCATTATTAAAATGGATTTAATTTAATTGGATTTTACAAAACAAATAAAGATGAAAAGCAAGCGTTGAGAGATTCAAAAAAGCCAGATTGTAAATATAGGGAGACATAAATTCAGTTCTATTCCTTCATGGAAGTAGTCCACATCCCAAAACAAAAATACAAAATCAAAATACGAGCAGTTAAATAAAAAGAAAAGAAAAGTACATTTTGTACATTTCTTTTTTACGGTATGTCTCTTAAGCATTATTTAGAGCACCTGCCGATAATTTCTTCAAGTGCATTTAATACTTAGATTTTAATAACAGCTGTAGCTAACAAGTTCAATTGCGAACATGTTTAAGCGGACTGGACAGAAACCCCGGGAAAAATCTAAAGCTTTCACCGCAACGAAGCGCCTGGCTTTCGACAGTGTAAATTTGGAGCTCACCTCGCGTATTCCGCTGGGAGATCGTGAGTATGGATTCATCAAGACCAACAAAGGGGGCACTCCGTTTCCAAAGAAATCGGATCCCTTCCGCCCACAAACGCTGTCGGACCATCTGCAAGGTGCCCAGCGGGATTCAGTTTTCTCAATATCTGGCGATGATGAAGTCTCGAAGACAACGATTTCCAGTGAGTCTTCATTCGAGGAACTACGTCGATGCCCTTTTCGTGATTCGGAAATGTCGTTTGAAATGAAACGGAAGCGCTTCGATGAGGGCGAATTCACAATAACTCGGGGCAAGAAAACCAGCGACTGGTATCATCCGGTAATTGACTATAAGCTGTCCGAGCATTCCAAGCGAGACTCTCAGCAGCATGCCTTGCAACAGCTGGAGGAGTTCTGTCGTACCGCGAACATCAAGATAAGCAAGGGCTTCGACACTCCGATACAACTATAACTTCGACACTCCGATACAACTATAACACTATCTCCACATCGGTCATACACATATATATATTTATTTATTTATACATATTTTCTAAGTCAATAAACAACTGGGAACTATTTGTCCCTTGCATCGGAGAGTTCTGGTAATTGTTGTCATGTCACTTGTACCTTTCAGATATCCTGGGAATATACAACGCTTGGCTTTTGGTATACTGAGCTGCTGGAGCGCAATGGACAATTTCGAAACTGGATATCCACGGATCGTCCAAAGGAAAGCCCCCATTTAATAGCCTCTCCCATTTCCGCTGTCAGTCGTGTCTTTTACGCTTGACATTAACTTGGGATAAACTTTGCAAGCAGACGCGCTATGCGATTGCATTGTTTTCTGTGCTGTTATTTTAATTCGTTTTTTTTCTTAAAACGCAGTTATTGGTGTGGCTGTTGAAAAGACGCGGCGGAAAGTTGCGCGGTCAGTTAAGAGTTCGTACCCTACCGAGGAAACGGTCAGTTACTACGAGTTCGCGCCCTGCCAAGGGTACTACTTTTTTTTTTTTTTAATTTATCTTTTACTACAATTGCTGCATTTGGTGTTGGAAAAAGAGGGTTCAGGGTATCCCCTAGTCGGGAGCTTCCTCTTGTTAGTCTTCAATTTTCTGCATTTGTTGCCCCATGATAGACATCGCTATATTACCGAATATGTACATACATTATAAATAATTAATATATATATCGAATGTTCGCAATAGATCCATTGTTTCATTGATATCGATAAAAACGATTTTAAGCTTCGGAAGGTGAACTCGCGGTAAAGCACAAACAGACCAAGTATATTTTAAATTCAAATATAAGGGAACTGTGATTTTTTCTCAAAACATCCGACTTATAAGTCAAACAAAAACTAATGAATTTGTGAAAATAAAACCTATAACAAATTGAGCCGGAAAAACGTGTTTTAAAGGCAGCACGAAAGTATGAAAACCCGCCAACTGCCTAAAAGCTGCTCACCCATATTTGACGAAAATTGGACTAGGGTTTGTAACGGATATTATCCACCAGTGATAGTCCAAAAATATGTTGATAAATTAGTGTCAGCAGGCGAGCCATATGTAGTATTCAAAATTAAAGAAAGTGTTTATCTAATATCTATGGGCGAGTCGGAAATATTTAATGAGACCCAAGTTGCATTAAATGTTAAGGGACATTTTGTTAATCCAGCACTGGGAAAACAATCGGATACGTGGTCGCCCTTACATGTTTACCCTATAGATTTCGCTATACTGAGGAACTCGTGGCGGACTGTTTATACACTGCAAATATGCCCGATTCGAACTATACAATACTTAACTATCCACTCTATGAGAAGCAATCCATCCATGCCCAAATGAAATACGGCTTTCAACTGGGCGGCGTGGTTGAAGACGACGGATCCAGTTGTGCCATCTATTCAAAGAACTTCAATTGCTGGGTTGCAGTTCTCTTCGGTTTGCTGCTATGCTGGGCAATCATTTCAAGTCGTTTTCGAATATAAAACAGTGCATACAAATAGATATAAAACAAAACAAATAAATAAAAAAGGCAAGCGTTGAGACATTCAAAAAAGCCAGATTGTAAATATAGGGAGACATAAATTCAGTTCTATTCCTTCATGGAAGTAGTCCACATCCCAAAACAAAAATAAACTATCAAAATACGAGCAGTTGAATCAAAAAAAGCGAATCGTAAATTTTGTATATTTATTTTTTACGGTATTTAGAGCACCTGCCTATAATTTCTTCAAGTGCATTTAATACGTAGATATTTATAACAGCTTTAGCTAACCAATTTAATTGCGAAAATGTTGAGGAGGACTGGACAGAAATCGCTCGAAAAACCTACAGGCTTCACCGAGCCGAAGCGCCTGGTTTTCAACAGGGATAATTTGCAGGTCACCTCACGTGTGACGATGGGAAATCGTGATTATGGATACATGAAGACCAACAAAGCGTGCACTCCGTTTCCAAAGAAATCGAATAGCTTCAGTGCACAAATACTGACGGACCGTCTGCAAGGTGCCCAGCGGGATTCAGTTTTCTCAATATCTGGCGATGATGAAGTCTCGAAGACAACGATTTCCAGTGAGTCTTCATTCGAGGAACTACGTCGATGCCCTTTTCGTGATTCGGAAATGTCGTTTGAAATGAAACGGAAGCGCTTCGATGAGGGCGAATTCACAATAACTCGGGGCAAGAAAACCAGCGACTGGTATCATCCGGTAATTGACTATAAGCTGTCCGAGCATTCCAAGCGAGACTCTCAGCAGCATGCCTTGCAACAGCTGGAGGAGTTCTGTCGTGCCGCGAACATCAAGTTAAGCAAGGGCTTCGAAACTCCGATACAACTATAACACTATCTCCACATCGGTCATACACATATATATATATTTAATTATTTATACATATTTTCTAAGTCAATAAACAACTGGGAACTATTTGTCCCTTGCATCGGAGAGTTCTGGTAATTGTTGTCATGTCACTTGTAACTTTCAGATACCCTTAGAGTCCACAACGGATATCTACGGATCGTCCAAAGGTAAGTCTCTATCTAATAGCCTCTCCCATTTCCCCTGTCATTCACATACACATACACATACACATACACATACACATACACATACACATACACATACACATACACACACATACACATACACATACACATACACATACACATACACATACACATACACATACACATACACATACACATACACATACACATACACATACACATACACATACACATACACATACACATACACATACACATACACATACACATACACATACACATACACATACATACATTACATTTCGAGATCCACGGGAGAGGACGGAGAAAACAGCAGCCCAAAACAACAGGCCCCAAATGGAAGGACAACTGCCTAGACAAGGAAACATACACGGATTTCCTAAGCCATGCTCGATGGACTGGGGCCGCGGAGTCAGCAGAAGACATGGCACGGCAGCTTACGGAAAACATCTCGGACGCGTGCGACTTATCCATGCCCAGGTGGAAGCCAAACAGAAGAGGAGCACCTTGTTACTGGTGGAACGAGGAAATCAGCGACCTAAGGAAGGCCTGCCTACGCGCTAGAAGACGCTCCCAACGAGCCCGAGGCCGCCCAGACTTTGCATCTTTTTTTTTTTTGCTGGATGACCTGCGGGCAGCCAAGCGAGACCTCAAAAGAAGTATCAAACAAAGCAAATCCAGCTGGTTCCGGAAAATATGCGACGAGGCCGATGTAAACCCGTGAGGCACGGCTTATAAGGTAGTCACGAAGAAGATACGCAGCCAGGGAACAACCCGTGTGACCTGTCCTACCGCACTTGCCACTGTAGTTGAGGCACTGTTCCCCCATCACCCAAGATTGGAGGTCGTCAGCCGCTCACGCAGCACGGAACTTGTGCGGCAGGTGTCGACAGACGAAGTGGTAGTGGCAAGCAAGAAGCTAGACGACAAAAAGGCTCCAGGATCAGATGGGGTGCCAAACAAGGCGCTAAAGTTAGCCATGCTGACGAAACCCGACGCCGAGACATACAATAGATGTCTGCAGGACGGTGTATTTCCCAAGAGATGGAAGCGACAGAAATTAATCCTCCTACCGAAAGGGGATAAGCCAATAGAGGAACCCTCGGGATACAGGCCAATCTGCCTACTGGACACGGCGGGAAAGGTTCTGGAGAGGATCGTGTACAACCGACTAATGGTGGTTGAAGAGAAAGAGGCCCTGTCCAAACAGAAATACGGATTTCGTAAGGCTAGATCTACGGTCGACGCAATTAAGGCGGTGGTAGATATTGCTACTAAAGCAATAGAGGGTACCCGATGGAGGTGGGGAGACAAGGAGTACTGCGCGGTGGTAACGTTTGACATCCGCAATGCCTTTAACTCAGCAAGCTGGTCTCGCATACTGGAAGCCTTAGACCGAATAGGGATACCGTCCTCTCTTTTCCGTATAATATCCAACTACCTGCCCGATCGACCATTAATTTATGATACGGAAGACGGTACTAGGAGCTACATGGTCACCGCAGGGGTCCCACAGGGGTCGGTCTTGGGACCACTCCTGTGGAACATAATGTACGACGAGCTGCTCAGAGTACAATTGCCCCAGGGATGCAGAATCATAGGATGCGCAGATTATCTGGCCGTAGTAGTGGTGGGCAAAGAAATAAAAGAAGTAGAAGCGGCAGCGAATGCACCCATAAGTATCGTGGCCAGCTGGATGCGTGGCGCTAGCCTGGAGCTGGCAGGCCATAAAACAGAGGCTGTGCTTATCACAAGCCGCAAGATAGTTGAGTTTGTTAGATTTCAGGTAGACAGCGTTAGTATCGAGTCAAAGGCTTCCATCAAGTATCTGGGGGTCATGTTAGACAACAGGCTTAGCTTTCGTCCTCACGTAGACTATGTTAGCCAGAAAGCGGCAAAAATGCAGGCGGCCCTTTCGAGGATGCTACCAAACATAGGAGGACCTAGAGCAGGTAGACGCCTACTCCTCGCGAGAGTTGTAGCCTCCGTGCTGCTCTATGCTGCACCGATATGGGCATCAGCAGTTGCAAGCCAGAAAGGCCTCAGAAGGAAAATGTCAGTCCCCTACAGGCTAAGCGCACTGCGCACTATTTCTGGATTCCGGACGGTGTCGGACGAGGCGGCCACAGTATTGGCAGGCATGCTGCCAGTAGATATATTGGCCAAGGAAATGGAGAACATATACAAAGCACGAATAGCGACAGGCGACGCTGTCTCAATAGATGTCATCCGACGGTCGGAGAGAGCAACATCAATGGCAACTTGGCAGGAGAGATGGAACTCGGCGAACAAGGGGAGATGGACACAAACTAATCCCCAACCTGGACCAATGGATTAGGAGACGGAACGGTTAAATTAACTTCCACCTAACGCAGTTTTTAACTGGACACGGAGGGTACAGGAAGTATCTCCACAGGTTTAGGCATGAGGACTCCCCTGAGTGTCCGACATGCCCAAATTTGAACGAAGACCCGGAACACGTGCTGTACCAATGCTCGAGGTACAGAGACGCAGTAGGCTCTGTACCCCCAGCTGAGGGACTAATAACGTTCATGCTGGAAGGAGAGAACAACTGGAGGAATATAGTTCAGCTCATAATAGGCATCCAGAGGGATCTGAGACGATGCGAAAAGGAGCGACGAATAATGGAGACTGCCTAAAATAGGCAACCCATCCCCGCGAAGTAATACTTTGCGGTGATCCCGCGGGGAATGTGGTGTGTGAGTGGGGGGTGAGTTTAGTACGTAGGTGTTGACGGAGTCGGCGAATCGTGCATACGGTTGGCCCGGGCCATCAGTATCTTACGAAGTAAGCAAAAAAAAAAAAAAAAAAAAAAACACATGCACATGCACATACACATGCACATGCACATGCTCATGCACATACACATGCACATGCACATGCACATACACATGCACATGCACATACACATACACATACACATAAACTTTGCAAGCAAACTTGTTGTTCTTTTATCTCGTTTCTCTTTTTTAATGTTTGTAAAAATTCATCAACGAAAACGTTTAAAAAAGGTATTCTGGATGACGGGTTTCTTTAATCCACAAGGTTTTCTGACCGCCATGCGGCAAGTGAGTATAAAAAGAAATTAAAATAATTTGCATTTGTTGCCATTTGCTATCACAACGTATTTGAAATAAGTTCTTGAATAAGAACAGAACAAACATGTTAGCGCAAAAAAGTCAGACACAAGCCGGAAGAAGCTAAGAGGACTTAATAGCTATAGTTAAACTGGATAATAAGCTATTCCTAGTTGTTGGGACACTCCTCTCAATAATTACCGCATACGTGGCGTGTTTCTTGCTCGAGGGATATGATAAACACTCAACTTTAAAAACGTGTGTACGATGCATTTTAAAGCGCTCTACTTAGATACCCAGTGAATTGTATATACATGCCCTACTTAAAGATACCCAGTGAATTGTATATACATGCCCTACTTAAAGATACCCAGTAAATTGTATTGTTAGGTTACCCTTGATGCATACAAATTATAACAAATAATAAATTACAGACCTTGCATTGATTTTTGTATATTGGTTAGCTCGATGTCAAGTCAACATTCTCACAAAATATGTTAGTTAAATATCTGTAAATCCTTGTATTTAATTATACTATGTAAATAACAAAAAGTTACATTCCTGTCACATCTAAAAGAAACTATGTTCCTCTAACCATTTATTGATATTCAATATGCTTCAAGTTATTCACACATTTGTGCAATTATTTTGTCCTCTTTTTTATTATTTGCCACAACTTGGGCGCTGGCTTGTATATATATTGTTGGTGCTTACTGAACTGCTGCTGGTTTGGCATTGCGTATACGCCGCGTGTGCCGCTGGAATTGTCAGGAGGTAACACGAGCGCACAAAGGCTGGGCACTCGACTCGGTTGTGCTGCAGAATCAAATAACGCGATACAACAAGGAGGACATTACCGAGTATCCCACAGAGGGTGTATACGTGCATGGACTATTTCTGGAAGGTAAGTATCAACACCTGCCACCTTTACCACCGCGCGTTATCTTCTTCTCATTCAAATGCCAATTCGGTGCGAATTGTTAGTTTCCTTTGCTACACTCACATTCACAGGATCTCATTTGTATTTGAATATATTGCACCTAATATATCCGCATTCGCCATATACATATATATATATATATATTATTTGCTTTACAATGTCATCTTTTTCCTTAGTCCTTGGTCTAGGTTCATGCCCTTTTGTTGACCCCACAAATTGGTGCCGGCTTGTTTGTGCGGCTTCTATCCTTCTTGTTATTATTCTAAATTCTATGTGTGATAATACGAGTGTTAAAGGCATAATTTGCGTTGCGTGCGTTATCCTGCAGATCTTTGTTGTGTTCAGCTGTTGATTAGCTGGGGGCGTGGCAGACCCAAAAGTTGAAATTTCTTGAAAAGAGTTTTCAAAATCAAATTATTAAATATAATGGGAAAATTGCATGCAAGTTTCAAATAATGGTACATTTCAGAGCTACGCTTAGAATATTAGTGAAAATATCGTTAATAATGTATTAAGTTCAATAGATTCATTATTAAAATGGATTTGACAGTGCCTTTACAAAACAAATAAAGGTAAAAAGCAAGCGTTGAGAGATTCGAAAAAGGCAGATTGTAAATATAGGGAGACATAAATTCAGTTCTATTCCTTCATGGAAGTAGTCCACATCCCAAAACAAAAATACACAATCCAAATACGAGCAGTTAAATAAAAAGAAAAGAAAAGTACATTTTGTACATTTTTTTTTTACGGTATGTCTCTTAAGCGTTATTTAGAGCACCTGCCGATAATTTCTTCAAGTGCATTTAATACTTAGATTTTAATAACAGCTGTAGCTAACAAATTCAATTGCGAACATGTTGAAGCGGACTGGACAGAAACCGCGGGAAAAAACTAAAGCTTTCACCGCGACGAAGCGCCTGGCTTTCGACAGTGTAAATTTGGAGCTCACCTCGCGTATTCCGCTGGGAGATCGTGAGTATGGATTCATCAAGACCAACAAAGGGGGCACTCCGTTTCCAAAGAAATCGGATCCCTTCCGCCCACAAACGCTGTCGGACCGTCTGCAAGGTGCCCAGCGGGGTTCAGTTTCCTCAATGATGTCTGATGATGTCTCGAAGTCAAGTGAGTCTTCATTCGAGGAACTACGTCGAGGCCCTTTTCGTGATTCGGAAATGTCGTTTGAAATGAAACGGAAGCGCTTTGATGAGGGCGAATTCACAATAACTCGGGGCAAGAAAACCAGCGACTGGTATCATCCGGTAATTGACTATAAGCTGTCCGAGCATTCCAAGCGAGACTCTCAGCAGCATGCCTTGCAACAGCTGGAGGAGTTCTGTCGTACCGCGAACATCAAGATAAGCAAGGGCTTCGACACTCCGATACAACTATAACACTATCTCCACATCGGTCATACACATATATATATTTATTTATTTATACATATTTTCTAAGTCAATAAACAACTGGGAACTATTTGTCCCTTGCATCGGAGAGTTCTGGTAATTGTTGTCATGTCACTTGTACCTTTCAGATATCCTGGGAATATACAACGCTTGGCTTTTGGTATACTGAGCTGCTGGAGCGCAATGGACAATTTCGAAACTGGATATCCACGGATCGTCCAAAGGAAAGCCCCCATTTAATAGCCTCTCCCATTTCCGCTGTCAGTCGTGTCTTTTACGCTTGACATTAACTTGGGATAAACTTTGCAAGCAGACGCGCTATGCGATTGCATTGTTTTCTGTGCTGTTATTTTAATTCGTTTTTTTCTTAAAACGCAGTTATTGGTGTGGCTGTTGAAAAGAGGCGGCGGAAAGTTGCGCGGTCAGTTAAGAGTTCGTACCCTACCGAGGAAACGGTCAGTTACTACGAGTTCGAGCCCTGCCAAGGGTACTACTTTTTTTTTTTTTTAATTTATCTTTTACTACAATTGCTGCATTTGGTGTTGGAAAAAGAGGGTTCAGGGTATCCCCTAGTCGGGAGCTTCCTCTTGTTAGTCTTCAATTTTCTGCATTTGTTGCCCCATGATAGACATCGCTATATTACCGAATATGTACATACATTATAAATAATTAATATATATATCGAATGTTCGCAATAGATCCATTGTTTCATTGATATCGATAAAAACGATTTTAAGCTTCGGAAGGTGAACTCGCGGTAAAGCACAAACAGACCAAGTATATTTTAATTTCAAATATAAGGGAACTGTGATTTTGTTTGTCTCAAAACATCCGACTTATAAGTCAAACAAAAACTAATGAATTTCTGAAAATAAAACCTATAACAAATTGAGCCGGAAAAACGTGTTTTAAAGGCAGCACGAAAGTATGAAAACCCGCCAACTGCCTAAAAGCTGCTCACCCATATTTGACGAAAATTGGACTAGGGTTTGTAACGGATATTATCCACCAGTGATAGTCCAAAAATATGTTGATAAATTAGTGTCAGCAGGCGAGCCATATGTAGTATTCAAAATTAAAGAAAGTGTTTATCTAATATCTATGGGCGAGTCGGAAATATTTAATGAGACCCAAATTGCATTAAATGTTAAGGGACATTTTGTTAATCCAGCACTGGGAAAACAATCGGATACGTGGTCGCCCTTACATGTTTACCCTATAGATTTCGCTATACTGAGGAACTCGTGGCGGACTGTTTATACACTGCAAATATGCCCGATTCGAACTATACAATACTTAACTATCCACTCTATGAGAAGCAATCCATCCATGCCCAAATGAAATACGGCTTTCAACTGGGCGGCGTGGTTGAAGACGACGGATCCAGTTGTGCCATCTATTCAAAGAACTTCAATTGCTGGGTTGCAGTTCTCTTCGGTTTGCTGCTATGCTGGGCAATCATTTCAAGTCGTTTTCGAATATAAAACAGTGCAAAATTTCTGGATGGGAACAGTAAACTGCTGTTAAAATAAGTGGAGCCTTAACATATTCTGTACAAATTATCAGCACGTTAACAGAGCTTCAAGGCGCGGCTTAACATAATTAAAAGATGTAAACGATAATAGAAACAGAATTGCAAGTCCCACATACTAGCGGCTCTTCAGCTATCACAACTGCAAGATACCCAGTAAATACTATATAAATTAATTTGACATTTGTAAAAATTTGTTAAAAATCGGAACAAATTAAACAACACGAGAAAGTTTTTCCGATTTTTATCTATTACAGAAATAAAATACAAGCAAAAACAATCTTGAACTCTTTTTTTGCGCTGAAAGAAAACCTTCTAAGAGAAAACCTTCTCGGTAACATGTCATTGACAACAATCGACAGAACAACATTTTCGATTATCTTTTTAAAAATGTATTGCCCAAAAATGTACAGCAGTTAGTAGGCTTATTGGCCAGTTGGACTCACGCAGTTATCACCTGCGTCCAAGTCGACTGAGGCAGCAATCGCAGCAGCAGCCGCAGCAGCAGCCGCAGCCTGAGGGCAACAGCTGTGGAAGCTTCAGCGCATTTATTGCTCTGGGTTGATAAACCTATTTCGGCAGCGCTGGTGCTCGGATGTCTTCCGCAGTTGCCAAAAAACTAAAAATAAAATAAAAAAAATAAAAAAAAAAGTGCAAGTGTTGATTAAATAAAACTTAAAAATAACACCAAAATTATTTGATAATTAATTTTTATTAGGGTACTTATCGTGTGCGCCGTTCGATAGATATCCAAATGAAACGCCACAGCCAGGCCGACGATGTGGAGCCCATTGTCTCGTCCTCGCGACAGCCGGCGCCCAGCATTGTAGTGCCTCAATCGCCGGATACATATTCCAATGGCTCCACAGCGCGGCAGGAGCAAGAGAAACGCGAGATCGCCGGTGATGATCAGGAGGATTTGGGCTACACGCATACGCTGGTAAGTTAAGCCAAGGACACCCGATGACACATAAGTTATTGAGAGTCCTTTGTAAAAAAAACATATCAAAATATTATATACATATATTTAAGTTCTGGTCTTCAAGCTGTGGCTCTTAATGTTGTACAATAGCTTGAAGCTCTAACTGTTGCCTCATTTTTTGAATTAAATAAAAGACACTTAAGCTTTGTCCATTTGACAAGGCGTGGCTTCTATATTTACCCTACCTGTCCTGTTATAACCGTTATTGATGGAAAATTTTAACTTAATTTGTTCACCCGATCTATAGAGTTATGCACTCTTGTTAAGTTTTTTTTTTTAATTCTAATCAATTTAACGGTTATAACGGTTATAACCTGTCCTGTTATAACCGTTATTGATGGAAAATTTTAACTTAATTTGTTCACCCGATCTATAGATTTATGCACTCTTGTTTAGTTTTTTTTTTTAATTCTAATCAATTTAATTACAACTAACATTTTGAAACATTTTTTTTGAATTTGAGAAATTCAGAGCTTAACGATCTTTTTCCACATATCCTGGCCCATTGGTGCAGAAACTAGGTGTCTGCATGTAAAGAGTATTTAGCAAAGACACAAACCCAGATACAACATTCGAGCTATCCGGGCTGCCAAATTCGAAAACCGAAAATAAACGCGACTGGTACGATTTAAGTTAAACAATTGTAATGACAAATACATTATAATCTGACAAATGGGTAAAACCAGACAATTTATAATAAAAAAATATTGAATAAACAGGCGAAATACATTTTTTTAATTTGAGAAATTCAGAGCTTAACGATCTTTTTCCACATATCCTGGCCCATTGGTACAGAAACTAGGTGTCTGCATGTAAAGAGTATTTAGCAAAGACACAAACCCAGAGACAACTTTCGCGCCCTTTAAGCTATCCGGGCTGCAAAATTCAAAAACCGAATCTAAACGCGACTGGTACGATTTAAGTTAAACAATTTTAATGACAAAAACATTATAATCTGACAAATGGGTAAAACCAGACAATTTATAATAAAAAATTATTGAATAAACAGGCGAAATAGATTCAATCAAGCCAATTTTTTGCTGGCTGGCTGGTGTTCACAGCTTGTGGCTATTCGGTGACAACTAATTGGCAAACATCTAGTGATAATTTGTCACTTACCTGGTCTAATATTTATTTGATGGCATTGTGACACGAGTGGGGAGCAGGCCCCGACTCCCAATTGTTTGCATTGCAAATATATACCATTTTTTTATCCACCTGCTTTGATTAATGTCACGCTTGTTTTTTTTTCTTTGCAATTTTATCCATTATTTTCCGGGGAAGCTGCGTTAATTGTGCCTAATTAGCATCGCTTAAAGTGTTTAATTCGCTGCGCATGTGAGAAAATGTGACTATATTATTTACAATTCTTTTATATTTTGCCAGAAAACATTCATGAAAAAAATATATATGTATATACATGTATGTGACATGTATTGTGCGACTATCTAAATACGTTAATTTTTTAGCACCTCACATGTGACAAATTCTGTCTGTTTTTTATTTGTCCTACCGTCTAAAATATTGATGAGTCATGTCTTATTTTTTCGGTTTTTTCTTGTTTTTTTTGGTATCGATCTGTAGATGTATGGCCGTTATTCGAGGGATCTACAACAATTTGCAGGCGATGAGGCGCGAAGGTTGCGCAAGCTCGCCAAGTTGCGCAAACAGGAGGATAAGCTCAGGAGTCAGGTTTCTATATAACATATAATTAATTAACGATAAATATAACATACACACACTCCCTTCACTCCGTATAGCTACTGCAGCTGGAGTCCAATGATCCGACACGATTGCACAGCATGTCCTCGTGGGCCTGGCACCATGTCTCCGATCGCCTGAGCAAGGATTGGATCTTTCTAACCACGTGCGCCATTATAATGGCCATCATATCCCTGGCCATGGACGAAGGCATACGCTTGTTTGTGGCAGGTAATACTAGCTGATAGCCTGATATCAAGAAATATATTATTCACTCCTCGCATCATTTTCAGCGCGCTTTTGGTTCTATAAGGATATTACGGCCGATCCGTTTGCCCAGTATTTGACTTGGGTCACAATACCCGTGCTAATGATATTATTTTCAGCAACTTTTGTGCATTACTTGGCACCACAAGCTGCAGGTAGTTGCCTGTCAACAGTTCTCCCTCCTAAACCAGCACTATAATTGGTCTAAATTTTAGGCTCTGGCATCCCTGAAATGAAAACCATTTTGCGTGGCGTTCCACTGAAGAACTATCTCACATTTAAGACCTTGGTGGCCAAGGTTTTGGGCCTAACATTCGTTTTGGGCAGCGGCATGCCGCTGGGCAAGGAGGTGAGCTGAAATAAACAGTTTTTTGCTTACAATTCGCAACTAGTTAAAGCTTGCCTCGGTTTAGGGTCCCTATGTGCACATCGCTAGCATTGTGGCGCATCTTTTAAGCAAGCTGGCAACGCCATTTCGCAGCATCTATCAGAATGAGTCGCGCAGCACCGAAATGCTGGCCGCTGCCTGCGCCTTGGGTCTGGGCACCTGCTTTGCAGCGCCCATCGGAGGTGAGGCGTAAACTGATCTAATACTTTATAAACTAATACATCTCATGCCCGACAGCTGTGCTCTTCAGCATTGAGGTGACCACCACGTATTTTGCGGTGCGCAATTATTGGCGTGGTTTCTTTGGCTGTGTGGTGGGCGCTTCGGCGGTGCGACTTTTGGCCGTGTGGTTCCAGGGCGCTGACACAGTTACCGCTGTCTATCCTACCCATATCAGCACAGAGTTTCCTTTCGATTCCCGGGAGCTTGTCTTCTTTGCCTTGACTGGGTAAGCACTCTGTTAAATCTGAAATCTTATGCTCTTTCTTCATATACATACCTCGTTATGTTGTTCTAGTGCACTCTGTGGCTTGCTGGGCGCCTCCTTTGTCTGGGTGCATCGTCATTATGTGCTCTTCATACGCTCTAGCAAGAAACTTAATAAGTTTCTGCAAAAGAAGTGAGTTTATTTTTCGGAAATGTGATCAAAAAACGCATTATGTCTCATGATTCCATTGGTCAATCTGTTAATCCTTCAATCGGTAAATCAGTTAATCAGTTAATCAATCAGTCAGTCGAAAAACGAACTATTTCTTATGATTCCTAATCAGTCAGATAATTATTCAATCGGTCAGTCAGTAAGTCCTTCAATCACTTTGTAAATAAGTCAGTCAATTAGTTATTTAATCAGTCAGTCGAAAAACGCACCATTTCTCATGATTCCTAATCAGTCAGATAATTAGTCAACCGGTCAGTCAGTTAATCCGTCAATCACTCGGTAAATTAGTCAGTCAGGCAATCAGTTAATCAATCAGTCAGTCGAAAAACGCACCATTTCTCATGATTGCAAATCAGTCAGATAATTAGTCAATCGGTCAGTCAGTCAGTTAATCCTTCAATCACTCTATAAATCAGTCAGTCAGTCAATGAGTTAATCAATCAGTCAGCCGAAAAACCAACTATTTCTCATGATATCTAATCAGTCAGATAATTAGTCAATCGGTCAGTCAGTTAATCCTTCAATCACTCTATAAATCAGTCAGTCAATCAGTTAATCAATCAGTCAGTTAATCAGTCGGTCAATTAGTTAACCTGTCATTCAGTTACTCAGTTAATCTGACGCTCAATCAGTCAGTCAGTCAATCAATCAGTCAATCAGGACAAACAGTTATCTGTATATAGATAGATATCATGAAAGATTAATTTAATACCGAGTCTCTTCAACAGTCGCCTCATATATCCCGGCCTTCTGGCCCTGCTGATATCCACGCTGACCTTCCCCCTGGGCACTGGCCAGTTTCTGGGCGGTGATCTCAGCACCGAGGATCAGCTGATTGAGCTCTTTAGCAACTTTACCTGGACCGAGAAGGATATGAGCGCGGAGCAGGCGAACATTGTCGCCCACTGGCAAACCAAGTACACCAGCATCTTTGGCAATCTGAGTAGCTATACGCTCTTCCATGTAGGTAGCTTTTGGCACAGCCAGCGGACCAATCACTCATCCAACACATCCAACCACTTCTTGCAGTACTTCTTCTCCATCATTGGCTCCACGATGGCCGTGCCGCATGGCATGTTCATACCAGCTCTGAAGATTGGCAGCGGCTTTGGTCGTTTGATTGGAGAATTTGTGGCCTGGACGTTTCCGCTGGGCGTGCGCTATGGCGACTGCATGTCACCCATTATGCCGGCGGCGTATGCGATTGTGGGCGCCGCTGCCTTTGCCGGTTCGGTAACCCATTCCATTTCGGTGGCCGTGGTCGTGTTCGAGATCACGGGACAAATTGCGTTTGTGGTGCCCGTGCTGGTGGCTGTGCTGGTGGCCAATGCGGTCGCCTCGCTGCTGCAGCCGTCCATGTACGAGAGTGTGATTATGATCAAGAAGCTGCCCTATCTGCCCGATCTGCTGTACACAAACTCCTCGCTGTACAACAAGTATGTGGCGGACTTTATGCTGCGCGATGTTAAGTACATTTGGCAGGGCATCTCCTACCAGTGCCTCAAGGATTTGCTGCGGCAGAACAAGAAGCTGCGCTCGCTGCCTTTGGTTGAGAGTCCAGATAATATGATTCTCCTGGGCTCCGTGCAGCGTCTAGAGTTGGTTAAATTGATCGAGCAGCAGGTTGGACGCGAGAAGCGCATGGAAATGGCGCAAAGATGGCGCGAAGAGGAGATCAAGGAGCAGTCTGCTGAGCGACGACCATCACGCTTCGACGTTGTGGCCGCCCAGGACATGCTGAATCTGCGCCAGCTTAACGCTGACGAGGCCGAGGCGCACAAGTCCATCCTTAAGAAAGGCAATCGGCAGTCCAGCGACTCGCTGAACAGCGTACACAGCAATTCCGAGTCCCCGCTGCGCTCGGCTTTTCAGTCCATTTTCAAGAAGTCCTCGGATCCGGTGCTCGATCTCGAAACTGGTTCCAATGACCAGCTGCAGTCCGTGGCCAGTCCATCCAAGCGTGTGCACCTGGTAAGTGCTGTGGAATGTTTCGAAAAAACTTCAGTTTCTAGCCATTGCCCAACACTAGATTGGCGATCGTGTCGTCGACATGTCACCCGAGGGCAAGAAGCTTTGGGAACTAGATCAATTGGCCAAGCCCATCGACTTTTACAACTCTGCGGCACGCGTGGATCCTTCGCCCTTTCAGCTGGTGGAACGCACCTCCTTGCTGCGCGTCCACTCCCTCTTCTCCATGATGGGCGTTAATCACGCCTATGTGACCAATATTGGTCGCCTTGTGGGCGTGGTCAGCCTGAAGGAGGTGAGTCAACCATGGCCCAACTATCGAAAACTATTTCAGCCAATGCCCGATTGTTTTCTAGCTTCGCAAAGCCATCGAGGACATTAACAATCAGAGCTTTGAGCCTTCAGCACGCGAACATCCGCCAGATGTGAAGCCCCTGCTCGCAGGCAGTTCCAGTGACGAGGGCGTCAATAGCACCATCACCTCCGTAAACTCCATGTCTGGCGAAATTCGAGCCAATCTCATGGAGGCACAAGGAAATGGCGCAGTCAATCAGGGCGCACACTCCAGCGTTTAGCTGCGGATCACCTCAAGGAAAACTATTATACCTAGTATGGAGCAGGACTCAAAGCACACTTGTTTGAAATGCAAAAATAGAAATCAGCTATCTATAGAAATGTTAAAAGTTAAATCCAAATGACTGGACTCATCTGGCGCGCCGCCTTCGAACCGAAACTGAATAATACTTAAACTACACACATATATTTTAAGAGGTTGTACCTTGAATATGTTCAATAGTTTTGCTTGTTATGTATTACAATTATGTTGATATATCTAACGACAATAAATGTCTTACAATTTTGTTTATAATTTATGGCTAAAACGGGTGACCATAAGGCAAACATTATTTGGGCAGGTGGATCAATGTGAGAGAAAATATTCAGACTTTAAACGATCCACAATCAAAAGAAATCCGTAAGAGCTGGAAAGCTTTATACGATCCACACTCAGAGAAATCTGTGGGAACATATTCCAAAAGAACAATTTTTTCATATTTTTTAAACGGTTCCATAAATACCAATTTTGTAAGGATATGATTTTTAGAGCTGCGAAACTCTAAAAAATCGTTTGAATTCAAGTACTTTACTTTAAAACCGACTCCACTTGAGTCAAATTGTTATGTTTGACATTTGTGTCAAATTTGGTCAACATATTTAATTAAATTTTTGATCCGTATGAGTTTTAAAAGTTCTCTCACTTCCAAATCGAATTTTATAGGCGATAATCGTTAAAACCGGCAATTGCGATGTAACCACCTCCCCCGGGCTAAGCCGGGTAATGGTCGCTAGTGCTCAGTTAAGTAAAACTCGAACCATTTAACATTTTGTATATTTTGCATTTTTATTGACTTTTTCTTCGTTTTTATGTATAAAACAATATATCTTCTTTTTTTTTAGTATGTTTTTTTTTTGTTTTTTCTTTACTTTTGCATCATCTCGATCTCTTTTTGCCGTGTTTGTTGATAGTTTAAAAAAGGAAAAAAAAAACAATTCTTCGCATAGAAATATATTCGGACATTGTTGTTTGCATTCCTTAAAGATCTTTTAAACATTCCTAGGGTTCACAACGCTCTCAAATACTCGCTCGTTGGCTATGCAAACACTTAAAAAATACTCTACTCCCAGTGGGACAACAGAGAGTATATTGGCTTTCTTCTTTTTATATTTTTTTAATGAGTAAAGCAGCGCGTTTTTATTATAAATGTTAACTGCCAAATATTACTCGTTTTTGAATGGACATTTTCTTGCAAAAGCATAAAAACTAAAGTTAACTTGTTTTTTGTTTGTTTACATTTACGAAGTTTATGTAAATGTGTGTGTGTGTGTGTCAGAGTGTGTAGTGTAGTGTAGTGCTGTGTAAAGTAGTGTTGTGTATAGTATACGATTCATTTTTTGGAGCGCTGCTTGCTTAACATGCCTCTCGCTTAGTTCCCCTTTACTTAAAAATGTTATTACATATATTTTTTTGTTTCGTTGCGAAACATTTCTCACAGTTTTACAAATTAAAACAAGAGCGTTCCTTAGTTTTGTTTTGTTTTGTTTTTTGTTTTTTTTTTAGTTTTTTTTTTGTTGTTTTGCCATCATTATTAAATATCATCGTGAGTTCCTGTTTACAATGCAAACAAACTAGTTGTTTCTTTTTTTTGTGTTTTTTTTCATAGGAATACATATTTGTATAAATTAATTTTAAATTATCTGGGGTATTCGCACTTAAATATTAAAAATATTTTTTTCAAATTGTAACTGAATTTATTGTTTTTCATGTTGAAGTTCGTTAAAAAAGTTTGATATTAATAGGATTGTATTTTTTTTTATTGTATTTTATGCATAGCAATATTTAGATTCTCTTTTAAATTATTTTTTGTTTGTTTGTGGAAGTATTGTTTTTTGTTTTTGTTTTGTTTTGTTTTGTTTTTTTTTATAGTTTTTAGTTACAGTTTTGTTGTTTGGAAAAATAGAAGTATGTTCTTATGTATACAATTAATTGAGGCGCAAAGCATTCTGACATTCTCCGATCTCGTTGGGGCGTAAACGTATGCAAAAAACAAAATCATTATAATAATAATTAAACAAATTTCTGTCTCCCTTAACCTCTGTCTACTACTTTTATTAGTTTTTTTATGTAGTTGTTGTTGTGGTCGTGTTTGTTGTTGTTGTTGTTGTTAATGGCACAGCGTCAGTTGATAGTTTTTCTTTTCTTTTTTTTCTTCTTCATTCTTCAGGTGCATTTTACATTTACATTTTATATCACAATTTTTTATTATTATTTTTATTTTGTAATTAACACATGTTTTCCATTTCATCAATATTGTTATTTACGCCCAGCAAAAAACCTGTTGAGCAATGTGTCAAGAATTCTCTCTGCTTTTTTTTTTGTTTTGTTTTGTTTTAATAAATGTGTGTGTTTAGTGTTGGAAAAGTTGAAATTTAGTTGGTAAAAAAGTGTTGGGATATGCCCTTTCAGAATTTGTTAGAACACTCAATACGCGTTTAACATGCATGTTAAAGGAATGGGAATTTGTTTTTTTTTTGTTTGATGTTTTATTTTTTTAACATGAATGTTAAGCGCATATTAAGTAAAATTGCCTGAATGGAGTTTAAAGCAATAGTCAGCTATTTTATATGCAATTGTTTAATTACATTTAATTATTCCAAATAAATATAATAAGCAAATTGCGTATAAAATAGCTAGGAATTCTAGGAAAAGTCCAATTAGGCAAAGGCAAAGTCTGTGTACATGTATGCTTAAGTGTGGGACTCGAACTTTTGTTCAGAGCCCGTCAAAAATGTAACTCAGTTCTTCAACTTTAATGTTCGTTATGATTTCTTTCTTCTTTTTTTTTCATGCTTTTTGTAACAGTTTTCGTTAATTGAAATGAAAATTGTCAAAAATTTCAACGGCTTTTCGTGTGTTCGTGTTGTACATTTTTTGGTTTTCCTTAATTGTTTACAAATTTTGTTTATAATTTATATATTTCGGCCAAAAACAGAAAAGAAAACATTTATATGCAATAACTTCGGCTTCTTCTTCTAGTCTCAACAGAAAAGCACAAAAAGTTAACATTCTTTTTTTGGTGGCAACTGGATTTTCTTTTTTTTCAAAAATAGAAATATTTTCTACGTTTAGTTGTTGGTGTATGTATGCGTGTGTATGTGTGTGTGTGTGTGTATAACTCGCTTAAACACAATTTTCGTTCATGTTTTTGTTTTTATTTTCATAATAAAAAAATTATAGCGATTAATTACATGTTCTTTTTTCACTTTTTTAAATCTTTTTTATAAAAAAAGGTTTTGTTTATATATTTGTTTTTTTTTGTTTTTTGTTTTTTTTTTTCGAACGACTGTTTGGTTTTTTTTTCGTTTACTTTCAAGATCAAACAGCTTGTTGTTTGGATTGCTTTTTTAAGGCGCTCTTTGCTTCTCTTCTTCTTCGTATTCTTTCAGCTCATTTCTTAAGGATTTTATCAACACAATTTTAAAGTTTGGATTAAATGAAGATGGAATTCCAAGTAGTTTCTTTCTGTTAACAGTTATTGTAGAAAGTTTCAAGAAATTGTGTATTGCAAATGAATAATTATAGTCTGTTTGCTATTTTTGTTTGTTTGTTGTTTTGTGATTTGTATATAAAAAAAAAAGAATTATACAAAGAAAAGGAACAAAAAAAAAAAAAACGGGAAAAAAAGAAAACATTTAACATGTTTCTTCTTTTTTTTTTTGGCCAAAACGCCGCAAGAGTTTCCACAATTTCGGGCCAAACATTAAGCAGCCGACGCCTGCTCACAGCTGCTCTTGTTGTTGTGTGGATACAATTGTTCCAGCGCCCGTCTTAGCCACTGGCCGTGGCGGGCTCACAGTATACGGACAAGTCACCGGGTCGCTGCTGCTGCCGCATGCGCCGTTGCAGCAACAGACTCTCGCTGGGCGGCGACAGACCTATGCCCAATGTGGGCGGCTCATCCAACAGATGCGGCGGCACCATCGATGAGTGCGCAAAGCGCCCGGAACCGATGCGACCAGGCGGATGCTGCTGCTGCTGTTGATGGGCGCGTTGCATGCCTCTGGGCTGGTTCAGGCCGCAGCTGCGCATCGGCGCATAGACGCAATCCTGACGCCAGTTGCGTATCTGCGTGGCGGGCGAATGCTCATCGGATGGTGGCGAACCGCCGCTGCTGCTCCCGGCGCTGTTGTGCCGCTGCTGCTGCGGCTGTTGCTTTACCGCCAGCGGTGGCTGTGGTGCTGCGGTTGGCGCCACTTTGTAGCCAGCGGCACCGCCGCTGTGCGAAAAGCTGCCCAAATAGTTGCGCTGCTGATTGCCATAGTGACCGCCACCGCCGCCGGTGCTAAATGGTGGACGATATTTTCGAAAACCGCCGGCGGCAACAAGTGTAGGCTGCTGCGGCTGCTCCGATTGATGGCTGCTGCGATAGCGCCAGTTCTCTAGCCGCTGTTCGGGCCGTGGTGCTATATAGCGCTGTTGCTGCTGCTGCCGTTGCTTGCGCGTGTAAGCGTTGCAAATGGCAGGCGGCGTGGCCTTAAAACCATTTTCAGTTAGCTTCAGCTCGTGCTCATCATCATCGTCATCATCCTCGTAATCGTCATCCTCCTCATCAATGTCGGCGTCCTCGTCATTTTGATATGCATCCAATGAAAAGTAAACATTTCGCTGTTGTTTGTTGCTGTTGCCAGCAGCCAGATGTTGCTGTTGTTGCTGTTGTTCTGGCTGCTGCTGCTGTTGTTGTTGTTGTTGTTGTTTGCCAAAAGTCGTTCGCATTGTTGTCCCCTCAGCTGCAGTTGCCGGCACTTTTGTATCATTTACATTGTTATCATCATTTGGTGGGCATGTTGCACTTGCTGCTGCTGCTGCTGTTGTGGTTGTTGTTGTTGCTGCTGGCACTGCCGCTGAGTTGACAACAATATTTGCAGTCTCATAAATTTCAGGTAGCTTTTCATTTAAATCACTAATACTATCCAATAGTTTAACATAATCATCATTATCATCATCATTATCGTAATCGTTAGCATAATCGTTATCGCTTTCATTGCCAGTTGGCTGAACGCCGTTGCTGCCATTCATTTGCGTTGTTGTTATTGCTGTTGTTGTTGTTGTTGTTGCTGCTGCTGCATTAACTGGTATTGGTTGCTTTTTGTTGCTGCTGCTGTTGGTGATTGTAGTAGCACTAATATCACTTGATGCTGCTTGTTGCTTTTTAGCCCCATCAACATCATCGTTCTTCTGCCTCGCCTCATCCTTAAACATTTCTATCTCCTGCGCATTGTTGCGCATTGTTGTTGTTGTAGCAAATTCGCTTTGCTTCGATTTTTCCATATTATCAATAATAATCTTATCCTTCTTCTCCTCCTCTTTCTCCATTTTCGGCTCCTTCTCTACTACCTTTACCTCTTCGTTCTCATCAATTTTAGCTTTCAATTCTTTTCGATTGTCGGCTTCCTCCTTCTCCTTCTCCTCTTCCTCTTCCTCCTCCTCCTCCTCGTCGTACTCATCTTCTTCAGCTATGTCATCCACGCGCTGCTGCTGCTCATAAAGATAATCATCGCCCTCATCTTCGTCCAGCTCGCGCCAATAATGCTTATAGTGCTGATAGTTCTCGCCTTCTCTCTCCTCCTCACCCAGCTCATAATCTTCATCATCATCCATCTCGTCGCCCTCAGCCTCGCTGCCAGTATCATGGCCTGTTTGGTGATGTTTCTCCTGCTGCTGTTGCAGCTCACGTTGCTCCTGATAGCGACGCGTCGCCTGCGCCCACTCATCATCGACACCTTCGTCCAGGCGTCCAAAAGCTTCCAGCGCCTCATCATCATCGTCGTCCTCCTCATGCACATTAAGCGTCTTAAAGCCGCCACTGTTATTGAATATGCCGGAGGCATTCCTTGAAGATTGACGACTGAGGCTGCTGCTGGCGTTCCGCTGAGCCGTAGACAAGCGGCCGCCATAACTAGACGATGAGGAGGCGGCGGCAGCAGCTGCTGTTGCCTTGCGCTGCGAGCGGCTGCGTGTGAAATGAGCCGGCGGCTTTGGATTATAATTCTCATCGCTATACGCATCCATGTAGGCCTGCGACGGCTGATAGATATTCGGGCGCTCCTTCATATAATCGTAGCGCATCGAGAAATGCTGCAGGATCACACGCTTCACGGCCATTGCAGACTCGGCAAACTGCGAGATCTCACGCGCAGACTGATGATTGCTGAGATGGTGAGAGGAGGTCAGGCAATTATAATTAATGTATGCTATATTTAATGGATAAGTCGAACCCTACCGTCGTATATTATTGGGCGTTTGAAGCGCCTTGTGGCGACCCGCCTGCTTGCTGACTGGTGGCTCCTGTTCGCACATGCGTATCCAATTATGATTGAGCACCGCTTCGGCGCTGAGACGCTTGGATGCCTGCTTAACTAGCAGACGGCAAATTAAATCTTTGGCCTCATCGCTCACAGCATGCCACTCGGCTTCCGGAAAGGAAAAACGTCCTGTGATCAAAGAAAATATATAAATTAAAATCGTTTCAAAGCTAGTTTTAATCCGCTGGACATACCCTCTTGAATGGACTCGAAAAGCAGCTCCTGGCACGTGCGACAGTTTTCACCGCGATTCCAGCCGCAATCCTCGCCGCAATTGCCTGAAAATGGCGGATAGCCACAGAGCAAAATGTACGCAATAACACCCAAGGACCATAAATCGCAGCGCTTATCATAATAGTTGGCCTCGCCGACAAACAGATCGACAACTTCGGGCGCCATAAACTCGGCGCTGCCGACCTGTGAATATGCCAAAATCGATTAGCAATCAGGAACAACTATATATGTATATTAATCCCTAGCTAACTCACTGGTGTCATTAGCTGCGGCGTGGCGGCTGGCGATGATATGTCCGTGGTGAACTTAATGCCAGAGCCCAAATCGAAATCACAAATTTTAATTGGGCACAACGAATCCGTTTTTACGCACAATATATTCTCTGGCTTGAGATCACGATGAGCAATGCCCTTCTTGTGCAGAAAATCTAAGCCGGACGCAATCTCTTTAATGATCTGCGCCGCCTCATGCTCCGAAAAACAGATATGCTCCTGGATACGTGTCAGCAATGGGCCGCCATTAATTTTCTCAAAGACCAAATAGAATTTCTCATCATCCTCGAAGAATTCGATCAATTGCAAGATGCCCGGATGTCCCTGACAGTGATGGAATGTCTCCACTTCGCGAAAGACACGCGCACGCGCATGTCCCGGTATCTTATCGATAACCTTCACGGCATACTCCAGATCGGTGTAAATGTTAACACATGTCTGCACCGATGCATAAGCGCCCTCGCCCAGTATTTCGCCCGTCAGCTTATACAGCTCTAAAGTGAGAAAAGTGAAATCGGAATTCATTAGAAAAGATCTTCGAGAAAGAATTGTCATATAAATAGACTTGCCCTGAAATGTTGACGAGTGCAGCGAGGAGCTGATGCGTTTTTTACGCCTCTTCTTCTGCATCTCCTCCTTGTGCCGGTTGAGCTCCGCCTGACGCTCCACTTCGGTCATATTGGGCGCTTCGCTTGACTCGTTGCCGGACACATCTTCGCTGCTGTAGCGCGTTAGCTCATTCTGGCCGTCTACAAAATTAAAGAATTCAAGATATTTGTTATTATAAACTCAAGTTTAAAGAAACTAACTAACTTATTTGAAATAGGTAGAGTGTTTGGGAAATATGATGAAATATCAAGCGTTTGATCTTTATCTATGATAGGGCTGATTGCAACTGCTCTGCACCAAGTTTGAAAGCGAACTGAAGCATTTGCTAAAACTATTGCGGACCAAACTGTAGGTCCAAAAATTAATTTCGTTATACACAACAAGATATGTTTATAAAAACAAAATTGTTGTTTACACTTTATTTTATATCACAATGTTTATTAGGTATTCTTTTTTATTCACATGATTAACCGATTGCTTTTGATTTTTAATTCTCGTTTAGATTAGAAACTATAGATGCATATATTTATTTTTATTTTCATTTCCTTTCTACTTAATCGAACTTCAAAAAATTAGAAACTATAGATGCATATATTTATTTTTATTTTCATTTCCTTTCTACTTAATCGAACTTCCAAAAATTTTCTTCTGTTTCGATCATAATTTGAAACAACGTGTAAACATTTTGTCGCTTATTCTGCTATTCAACTCGTCGTTTGAGTCACCTTTTTTTTTTAAAGGGGTTCCTACTCGGTTCGCCGTAGGCAGCTGCTTGCAAATAATGACGAAATCGCCTTTGATGGAATTAAAATACCATACGAAATTAGAAATTGCACCATATAATGCTTTGATTTACATATGAAAGAAGCGAAATGTTGAATAAATATTTATAAGGGTAATAATAAGTAATGAAGAAACATAGCCAAAACTAGCCGAAAGAAAGCAGCTTTAAAGGTATTTTAAATAAATAATTAGAAAGATATTGAGTCTGGGAGAGCAGAGAATCTAGTTCAATTCATTGCAAAAAGAAAATTTAATATTTCAAGTAAACTTTACTAAAAACTAACGCTAAGTCAGACTTTTTTGCAATCATGAAAATCGCATAGAACGGCAGCTTAGCTAACGGCAAAAACAGTATGTGCGTATTGTTTTAGTTGTTGTCCTGAGCATCGGTGTGTTCAAAGAACCACACACGCGAATTTATCTAACTTGTTTATATGTATATGTATATACTTAATAGTGTCAATAATGTCTTTTGTTGAATCATATTTTATCAATAATAATCAAAATATACCCCAATAAATGCCAGTGTAACTTTCTAAACATCTGTTGCTGCCGTCCATCTCGATAGCTTCAAAGCGTGACAATTTAATTTTTTGCTAAAATAATTATTACCTAGCCTTCGATTTCGTGGGCTAGCGTTAAATCGAGATTCAAGAAATGTTTATCAAATTAACCAACAAGTACTTATCAGTTGACAATTGACTACAACAGAAATAAATAGACATGGCATCCCATTGGGCTTTGGCTTTGGCTTTGGCTTTCCGTTCGCTCGGGGCTGAACAAACAGCAATATAAATATTTGCGCACATTTATCGGCGACCACTTGCCAGCCATATTTGTATGCCTATTTTCAAGTTTTTATCAATGCATAAATGTTTATAAATAAACGAGTATATTGAAAAATAATATACATACATTTATGTATATATTATAGATAGATCGCTATAGAGCGAGTACATAATTTTAGCGCAACTGCGTAGAAAGCAAATCGCGTGTCGTAAACAACTCGCCTCCGATGCAAAAGCGAGCCAGTAAAAATAATATGAAAGAAACAAACAAAATAAAAAAATAAAATATGTAAAATTCAAATAAAATAAATGCTAAATAAATGAAGAGAGCGCGGCACAACGGAAGAGGAGGAGAGTGAGCAGCGGGGGCCAGTGACTGAGCAAAGCCTGACAGTAATTATCACAATAATGTTGCTTGTAATGATCATCATAATGATGATAATGACAAAACGAAGGCGACGCATTTTTGCGTATCTATACTCTTGGAAAGGATATTATAATTTTTACATGTAGTTTGTAACGCTTCGGAGAATTCGGCGATGTGACTATGTTATACATATATGTATATGTATATATATATATATATCAGTATAAATCCGACTACCTATAGCTGCTATAGGAACACAAGGTAATATATAAATATTTATACAGCTCTTTATCAGCAATCGATTGATAGCGGATTATTTTCATAAAAACCTGCGTGCAAGGGTATTTGAACTTCGGCGTGCCCAAGATTTTCTTTTAATTGTGATCATAAACCAGGCACACGAATCGGTTGTGCGTTCAATGTTCTATTTATAGATACCATGCGACTTACGAGTCTGTCTGGCCACTTACTTAAAGGCGTATAGGCAGGGGGAGGAGCAAGAGGAGGAAGAAGACCAGGAGGGGGTGGGGAAAGCAACTGACAGATCGCTGGCCCAGCCAATCGCCAATCTTCAATTGCATTGCAAATGCAAGGCGCAATCAACACAATATGCCGTGGAGTTCAATGGGGTGTAGTTGAGTTATGGGCGTGGAGGGGGGGAGGATGGTAGGGCAGGATAGGGTGTCCATAATAATAATAATAATAAATCTAATGCTAATATGCATTGTTACATTCTGTTGGACTTTTGAGCGCCAGAGGTAGTTGGCCTTTAGCGAGTGGCTCGTGATGTTGTTGTTGAGACGCATAATAAAATAAATAAACGACCAGAGGAGCCATTCAAGTACTTGAGGAGTATATAGATGGTGTGTATAGACACACACACACACACACACACGCACGCACACACATAATTGGATAGGGCTGCACAACAACAAAAGCTCGCATCACATGACAAGATCATTGAGCCTTATAAAAAAAAAACAGAAATGCAGTTTGAATTTCGTGGAACGCTTGAAATATATATTTAAAACAATAAATATTGCATATAAAATGATTACTTAAATGAATATGAATGAATAAATACGATTACTACAATTACAATTATTCACCCAAGTTAATATTTCTCGGTCTCGATCTCGATCTCGATTGTAACTGCCAGAAAAAGAATTTTCCAAAGCGATCAGTGATCAGCAATGAAATTGGAAGACATTCAAATTCAGTTTGCTTATAATTTAACATTTTTTCACTCTTAGCATCAAGCAGATGGCAGATGTCAGAGTTCATCGAAAGGTCTCCTTCATTTTCTATAGATACAAAGAACTGAAGGCGATCAATCATTCTTATCGCATGCTTTATAAATCCACTTGTCAATCACATACACTACACGTACATGCCATATACTTAGTATATATGATTTTCTTGTGTGACCCAATTTCTTTCTAGACATTCTCTTGTATACTCTTCCGCCTTCTCGACTGCTGCTGACTGCCGGCAGCAACTATTTCTCTAGAACGCAATATACGCGCAAACCGCGTTGATAAACAAATACTTTTAAATATTTAGACAAGCTTTCATTTTTATTTTCTAGATTTTCCGCCTTTTCTTTTTGGTTCCGGTGCAGACCCAACCCCCTCCCTCCCCCTTACGCATCCAATCGTCAATTGGCGGACGTCACACACAGTTGCTCTCATCGAATGATATTGCGATTATAAAATTCTTCTCGTTTTGTTGTTTCTTTGATTTTGATTTTAATTGTGTCTCGCCTCGAGTGAAATTTTTGGCTGAAAGCCCACCAAAGTCTACATCCCCCGAAACGCGTCATTCTGCCATGCTGCCACGCCCAGCGCACACACGTTGCTTGCGCCCATTTGACGCGCACACACTCACGCACACACATTCGGTCCTATCTAAATTTAAATTTGGCCTAATTAGTGCGTTTTTTTTTGTTGTTAATTCTTATCAATTACGTAAATTAAATTGTGGCAAAAACAAAGACGCGTGCTGCAAGCAATAATAAAAATATATCTGTACATTGTGTATTCTTCCTCTTCTTTTATTATGTATTTTCATTGCTTTCGTTTATTCGTCGGTTTTTTGTTGGCGCCTCTTGTGATATTTTTTTGCGCATTGCTTTTGCGAATTTTTCTGCAAATCATTTTGTTTATTTGGTGCATATTCTATTTTTCTGTTCATTTTCCACACGAACCAGTTTTTCTAACGATTTGCTGTCGTAGGAAAATTAATTATGATAAATCGCCGGCGATTTGTTGCCAAAAAAGCTGTTGACATTTTACATGGATTTTCATCTGCTTCGAATGATTTCTGCTTTTGCATTCTTCTAGAAACTATTTAAAAGTACGTTTCCCTTTCTAGAAAAGTGAAATGCATGCTGAAAACTTTTAGTTTCGTTTCTTAGCATAAAATTATTGTAAATGAAACCGTAATCATTTTATATTAATTACCAATTAGAATTAGCCTAAGATTATGAAAGCTTCTCATGGAAATCTTCAAATTGTGCAAAAACATGTCAACATGTTTTTCTTATAAATTGAATTTAATTGTATGCGACACGTGTAATAAATAGATGCAATGCTTCTCTATATGATTGATTAAATCAGAAGCTAATCTTTCGGAAGACATCACCTGATGTCTTTATTGCATCGATTGGGAGACGGCTTATGAAACATGTTCATCGTATTTCATCAGCTTGTTTTTAGTCCAAAAAAATAAACACCTCAAAAGTCTGGACATTTTTTTTGTTTTTGACGCTAGAGAATCATTCGATGTTGCCAGCTTATCTAAGAACCGGGAGAAGCGTTAACAGTTTTGTATTGCTTTTGACCTCTCGCATTACCGATTATCGAATCACCTTGAATGTGGTTCGGGAACCCTATTATATATGCATATATAGTATATATACACTACGTAAGAGACCCTATTGCGAAAAACATAAAATGAAACAGCTTGTCTGTTATTTTCTTTTTACTCGTCGAAGCCGTAGAAAACTGAAACTAAAACAAGCTTAAAAATAGTTGTTGTTTTTTTTTGTGTTTTCATCTTCTTTCTTTCAGTCTGAAATTTCTAGCTCTTGAGTCAACTTATCTCTGACGTGTTTGCCGGCCGGTATCGGATCGTGAAGCGGGGAGCGGGAAGGGGCGAGAGCATATTGAGACCTGAAGCCGTCAGTCGTCGCGGCCGTCGG